CCTTAAACGAAATTGGGTGAATACATCTCATATTACTGATTTACCGGTAGTCACGAAAACAATACTTAATTCAAAAAATAAAGTTTCGTAGTCGATTGTAAAATAGCAAATATACGTTTGCTTCATCGACAATCCCACCAAAAGAATATGATATGGCAAAAAAGCCTGGCCTTCCTTGAATATTCACATATACCCTGTGACCCAAAAGGCGCTCGTGGCAGTGTAGTTGAGTGGTTAGCATGTTAAGCTCCCATCCTGCACCATCGCGGTTCGACTCCCGCTGAGGGTGTTGATAAGACCGGTGCGAGTTCGAAACTGCAGTCCACTCCAGCCGAGATGATAACAACTTTTGGGAAAGCAAGGCTATGTGAAAATTCAATGGAAACGTCAACTGAACTCATATCATTGTGGGAAAATTCTTCTTCTACCAGTCCTTCATAACCTTAAACAAAATTGGGTGAATACATCTCATACCAAAATTATTTTAAAGTCGCCGAAAATAAGAGCAAAAGCTTTCCACAAATTAGCAGGTTCAGATTTAATACTAACACCTAGAAGGAATTAGGTCCATTAAAGGTCTACCAAGAGGTTAGCCAGACTGAGTACTAAGACACGGTGTGAATGAGAATACAACCAACTGTAGTGGTCACAGTGTCTTGGCGACAAAATAGGAAGTCAGAAACATACTCTTTTTTCTGCTTCCTCTTTCGAGGCCAGTAAACGAGCCTTTTGGGCATCGAATTCGCCAATTAAGTGTTGCAAATCCAGCTCGCGTGTTCGTGCCTCGGACAGCTCCTCCTCAAGACGGTGTTGCTTCTCGACCGAGTCCTCAGCTGATCCAGCCTCGGACAGGGCAACCTGTTGCAGTTCGGAGATCACACTAGTCTGATGCTCGAGATGGCGTAACTTAATTGCCTCATTCTAGTCATTATAATAATAAGTAAAATGGACAGAAAAAGAACAAATTACAAAATAAAAGTTACGGGTGAGAAATTATTAGTGGATTAATCTAGTATTTTAGTTTAGGTAGCAAATAGGGACGATGGGCAAAAGGGACTCTCGTAAAATAAGAAAAGCTTTAAGCTAAGCCTCCTAAAGACATCTTAGTATCATTGTTATTTTGCTCTTTAAAATTAAATAAAGACTGCTGACTGATTGATCAACTAAAATTCTCGGAAAATAGGCGGATAAACGTTATATGGTTAAGAAAAAAAAATGTGTTTAAGGTATGTCGAATCAAAACAGAAAGTATTTTAGAAAAGTGATGCGATAAGAGGTAATAGAGTCGAGAAGAGATAAAGAAACAAAAAAAGTTGTCGTCGCAAGATGACTTCGTTCAGCTGATTCCGACGAGGAAAATCGTATAATTTAGCGGGCAAAGGATAAGAGGAGGGACTTAAAAAGGAGAATAAAACTAAATTTGATGGTTCCATGCTTTCGAAATATCTAGAAAAAAAATCCAGAATTTTACCAACAATAGCGAGTTCATTAGGCTAGACAGAATCAAATAATGCAGGTGTAAGCGATACGGCTCTGGCAAAAATAGCAAAGCATACAGGATCATAAAAGGATGTAAAGCAACTGAAAAAATAAGGGGATTGCCTAACTCCTTTCGATTGGCTCCAAAGCAACGCCGCCAATTTTAGGGTGAAAAATGAAAATAAAAGTCAAAATAACTTGCCTCTAGCTGCATTTCCTGTTCCGAAACTTTGTTTCGGTATTGATGGACTTCTTTCCTTAGCTCTGAATGCTGGTGATAAGCCGAGACGAAGGGTGGTTATAAAATAAAGAGAGGGAAATAAGATAATAAAAATCACATTGAAAGACAAAGTAATATGCAAAACCGTCCTGGTGCAAGAAAACATCAACGCTACCAAAGAATTTGCAAACCTTGAGTTATTCAATTAGCCTTCTTATAAAAACCTTTGGCAAAGGTTAGGTCAATGGCAAGAAGAGTAAACTCAAGTAGTCATGACATATAGATGGCTCGTTTAATGGTATTGCAAACAATAATATTTAAATAATCCATAAAAAATGGAAGCGCTTTTTTATGGAATTGTTGATGAAGCAAACGTGTGTTTTGCTATAACAATCGACTACTATACTGTATTTTTTCGAATTAAGTATTATTTTTCGTGACTACCAGTAAATCAGTCATAAGATATAATAAAAAATAAAGTATAGTAGTCGATTATTATAGCAAAACATACATTTGCTTCATCGGCACTCCCACCAAAGAATATGATATAGCAAAGAGGCCTGACTTTCCTTGAAATTCACT